CTGTCAAACAAAAGTTCAGTATCTTTTCACCCTAGCTGAGACATTTTTTTTAAAGTAATATAAGTTAAGTTACTTTCCAGTTTTTTCATCTAAGAGAATTCCTCCTAAGCTGAAAACATATCTGGGTCCAGAAGTTCTCACAGGGTCACTCAAAACTTGAATCGCAGGGTTTACCAAACTAGCTTAGATCATTGATCCATCAAGTCAAGTGATGGCCAATTCTTGATAGGTCAGAAGAGACTGCTCCTCCCGCCATGCTAACTCTGTTGCAGTTGAGCAATTATGCAGTGTTTTATCATGATGGGGAAGAGTGTCTTCCTGGTCCTTGTGCATTTACTGCCATTGATTACTTCTATAGTGTTTTCTCTTATTTTACTGAATTAGACAATCCTTAAAGGATTAGATCATCTTTTATCTATTCAGTTGAGTCGAGATGTCCATTAGGCTTCCATTATGTTCTAGCTTATATCACATTGCGTGGATTCCCTCTGCAAGACTAAATAAGAAGTCTCTCTGTAGGGTTAGACTCTGCCTGGCACTTGGATGCGAGTGGGAAGGGTATGGAAAGCGTTCTCTTCATTCTGCCCTAACTTGTGCAGAGGCTTAATACCGATGTGCCCAATGGAAGCTTTCTCATTGACTTTGGTTGTACTTGAATCAAGCTTCTTCTGCATTCACACAGGCCATCTTGCAATATTAACAGCTATCAGGTGATAACAGGTCTGATTTTTTTTGTAGTATTTTGCACCTTATACAGCAGTCATTTGCTCTAGTGCCAAGTTGGGTATAATGTACATACTACAATTTTGATTTGAGAGCATCCTTTCTCCTGTAAATAGCAATGATCATGGACACCCCACTGTTATGTTTAGGGTGCCTTGGCTTTTTATCTGTTTTATAGGTCTGATATTGTGAAGTATTTTTTTCCAGCAAAGGCTGGCAAAGTGGCTAATAGCAAATCTAGACCTTAAATTAAAGACTTGAAAAAGTAGTTTGGGGAAATAGGAGACTGATCAACCTTAAAAATGAAATATTCACAATAAATAGCTTACTTTCAACATTTCTGCATACGGGCTTCTCATGTGAATAAAGAGTTGGCCCATAAGCTCTGACAGTTCTGTAGTAAGTATATCATGATATAATCAATACCCAGCAAGGTTAATGCTTCCTTTTAAGCTTTCTTGTTGTGTTTTCTTCTGGTAAAGGATTTTTCTCTGTAGTCCATTACATTACTTCTTTGTGGGTTTTTTGTGATGCTATTGAGTTATTGCTGATCCAGTTCTTGATACAGCTTCTTTTTGTATGTTTGTGCTGGTGTAGATACCATCAGGAAGCTTCCTGGGGAAGGTGAAGCACAAAAACAATAGCTCACATCACTGCTATCCATGTCTGAATGTATTTCAGGCTGGGTATGTGAGTCACTGCATCCTACTTACACCCCGACTCTTCGTTTCTAAAATAAAATGCCTGCTGAAGGCTGGGTTTGAACATTCACACTCATAAGGGAATGCTGTATTCTTTATTTATCAGCTGCTTAAACAAACACATCAGTGTGACTCAGCTTCAGAAATCAGTGTGAATAATTAGAGGGGGAGGTTTTCTACGTGATTTCCTGACTTGTTTGTCTTTTTCATATGTGCTGAGCACATACATTGGGCAATAATCAATTAATAGGAATCTCTGATTTGGATTTAAAAAACCTTAAATTGAAAGCACTGCCTTGGAACTTCAGAAATGATCACTAGAATTACAGGGTTTTTTTTCCAAAAGATGTAAATCCAGAGGAGAGAATATGAAATAAACTTTCTGCTTGTAGATATGGGTTAAGAAAGTGAATTTGGTGCAGGTAGAGTGATGCAGTGGGTTGTAACTGGGTGTGGCAGGCAGGACTTGGGTTCTAGTTTTAGCTCTGCCACAAGCTTGCCATCCGGTTCTGGGCAAGTTACTTCATTGCTCTATGTGTTGTTTTCCTTATCTGTAAAATGAGGCTAATGGAACTTAACTGACTTCTAAAATGCTTTGAGACTGAAAAGTGCTATGTGCTATCATTATTCACTTTTGATTAAAAATAAAATTGTTGGCAGGATAAATGACTAATTCTTCCTGAGAATATAAGAAGCAGAATACAAGAAAAAAGGTTGCAGCAATAAAAGCATGGTCTCAAAATACTTTACATTCATCATCACGCACAAACATGCTTTTGTTGACAAAGACAGAAGTGCTCCAAGGCCTGTTGTGTTACAAATGCATTTAAAGAATAGCTGGAAGAAAAGTGCCATGCAGGATTTGAAACTGCAACGATACAATAAATTAGTGGCATACTGAAATTCAGCGCAACAGAAATCATTTAACTTTAACTCTGCATCCTGATTAATGTTCTTCCTTGGTCTCATTGCTTTCCTAATCCCTACAGATGCTCATCATAGCATCTCATTGCTCCATTCCTATAAAATAAGCTTCTCTCAAAATATAGTGGCATCTGAAGAGATTGCTACCTGATCATGTTGCAATTCTCACCTTGTGCAGTTATGGCAGTTTGGAGTTTCGTTTTGCAAATAATAGTAACCTAACAGAAGGTTTTTTGGATTGTACAACATTTCAGAGTTCTCTTGATTGAACAGAGATTCTAGATGTTAAAAAAATGAGGTCTTGCAGTTGTTCTGTTGTCTTGTTTCCCTTTCCTTTTGTCTGCAGGAGTATCTCCAGCCAATAAATAAAATTATGTTCTGTTAAATCCTGTCTTGTGCAAAAAAGGGAGTTTGGAAAGCACTGCCAGTACCTCTGGCTCTGAGCGACAGCCTGGTGTCGAATCAGCTTCCTTCATGCAGCACACTGAATCTACAGGTTGGGAAGGCAAGAAGAGCAATAGGCATTTACAAAGGATAGCGACAATCAGGAAATGCAGTATGAAGAAAGCAACCCGGTGCGGTTATCAACCTCAATGTAGCTGAGGTCTTCCCCATATCTCTCTGTATAGAAAGTATGCTCAAAAAGGAAATGGAGATAAACTGCAATAGTTTGAGGCCCTTTCTGCTAAACTTTACATACAGAATTACGACAAAAGTAGGAGCGTTTCATAATTCATGTTGGGGTGTGGGGGGAAGGGAGGTGGGGGACTCCATACCTCCTCACCACAGTAACACAAGGACCTAGAGAGGGATGTTTAAAGCAAATGCGAGTCAAGATAAGGAACTTGGATCACCCTGGAGTTATTTACTCTAGCAGCATGTTTTTGTAATGTTATGCTTCGGCGAGTGTGCATGACACAGAAGCAAACTGTGGTAGGTAAGAGTTGGAATAGCCGGAGTCTTATCAGAGTTAATGGAAAAACAATGGGTTCTTTGAAGTTGTAGCGCTGCCAGCTTTTCAGCTGCATTGCCTTTTATGGCTGAGCTGCTTCACATTGAAGTGTTCTCTATAGGTAGGACGATGGCAGCCTGACTCGGACGCTGCACGTTCCTATAATTAAAAGCGTTACTGAAGTTACGGCGCTCTCCTCTGCTCTGGGGATTCTAGCTTGGAGATGAACTCTGCCAGAATGCTAAAATTGTACAGTGCTGCTATGATTTGCTTCAGAGGAGCACCCTGGTACCTGAGAACAGTGCGTGTTCATCCCTCTACCTGAAGGCCACCGTGAATTTAGTTTTATTGGTTTATTTTTGCATCCCTTGTATGATACAGCCAGCTGGTTTGATGGTATCAGAGGAACAGCTAGGAAGTGTCGGTGATGCGTTTAGTCTAGTATCCTGTTTCTCAAGACTCCGGCAAGTGTCAGTTGCTTCAGAGGAAGGGGCAGGAAACTGGAATCATGTGCCCTTGGGGAAATGTTTTTTGAACCTTGTCAGTTGGTTTATATGCAACAGCACATGTTAGTCTTATGCATATTATTTTGCTTGGTCTCAGCCACTGACAATATATACCAAAGTCCCTGTAGGGAAGTGCTGTGCACCTGCCCGGGTGAAACACCTTGCCTCTGAGTTTGCCATGTGGCTGCATTGAAATGAATGTACCATCCCTATTCCCCATTCTCAACTGGAAATAAAGTAGTACCGTTTGAAGGCATCTCTCTGCCTGTCAGCAGATTGCACTTGGAAGTTTGTTTTGGCAAGGAGTTAGGAAATGCATAAGTGGGGTCTAGTTTCTAAAAAGGGGGTTGCAAAGACAATGCATGGGTTCTGTTTGTAGTTTTGCCACTGACTCACTAGGTGATCACGGCCTTCTGCTGTGCCTCACTTACCCCTCCCACAAATGGACAATAAGAATAGCCGTCTTTAAAAACATGTTAGATAACCAAGGCAAGAGCAGTCTAAGTGCTAAGAGGTGTAATTTAAAGCTAACTATGATGAAGAAGGGTGTATTCAAGAAGACCTATTTTCACTCAGCACAACTCAGCTGTTCTTAAAGCATTTTTACTGAACGTGTCACTTAAGTAGACAGCTGCCTCATGCTTCAAAATTTCTATGATGGCCTAAGGTACATAATAAAATTATATGAATTAAATTTTCCAGGGAGATTAATTTCAGAACAGAATAGAGGAAGACGGGTGGTGCTACAAACATAAGCCTGTAATGGGGAAAAAAGAAAAACACATGCTGATATTGTATCTGAAAATCAGAAGGAACTATCAGTGCTAGAATAGAGCAATCCAAGAGAATGAGTCTTATGTAATTCAAAAGCAGTATTCAGTCAGTAGCCAGAAAGACCCTGTTCAGGTAGAAGTACTGTGTGGGGATGGTAGCTTGGGAAACCAGTAATTAAGAGCTAGCCTAACGATGCAAAATAGAATTGCTAACAGGATTAATTAGACTTTGTCTAGGAAACCTCTGTAATTGATGCATATCCACATCTGCGGCCTGCTGAGACATTAGGTAGCTATTCTACACCTGAGCAGTTTGGTAGATCTAGAGAACCCAGCTGCCAGAATAATTTTGGTTTCTCTACAGCTCCTGTATTCAATTAAATGTTCAAAGTGTTTTTTTTCTTCCCTTTTTTCTAAACAGCACTTCCATGAAGGCCGAAAGGCACAGCAGCATATTGAAACTTGCTGGAAACAACTTGAAGCAGTAAGTGGAAACTTTCTTTCAAAGTCACGTTTAGAGCATTTTAATAATGTCTTGAGAAGTGTTTCTAAACATTGGGTTTAAAGAAAGATAAGGATTAGGAAAAGGTCTGAAAATCAAAGGAATGTAATTTGAAGCTGTGCTCTTTGGGATATAAAGATAGGCATAAAACAGTCTGCTCCTCATGGGTAGTATTTCATTTGATAATGGTCAAAAGCAGTGGGAGACGATCTTTTTGGCAGGCATGCTGCAAATTAGCCTAGCCCTTCCTTGTTCTCCCCCCCCCCCATGCCACTGATTCTCTTCCCTGCCTGATCTGCCTCTCTGCTTTCTGCTTCCTTCTCTGTACTCCCTGCCCCATGTGCTGCTCTGCTTTCTGCTTCCTGCCTTCTCTGCTACCGTGCTGTTTGTTCCTTCCCCGATCTGCTGCATGCTGTTAACGGAGGCTGCTGGTGCCACTTGCGGTGTACGTGCCACAGATTGGTCACCTCTGCTCAAAGTATGCTAGAAGCTATAGAAAATCCATAGTAAGGCACAGCCTCTACTGCCAAGAGATTACAATCCAAAAGGGCTGTATTCTGGGTACTGAATAGCACTTTACTCCATGCATGACTTCAAATGAGACCATCTGCTGAAAAGGTGCTATTCCACAGGTGTAAATGTATCGGAAACTGGCCCTCAATATTAGGTGTGACCTGGAGGGAGGAGGAGAAGCCATATGAAGGGGAAGAGATGAGGACAGGGGAAGATCAACAGTGGATGTGCTGTGCAGACCTTAGTCAATCAGTCATGAATGCACTTGTATAAAACAACAAAGGTAGCATGGGCTCACTGACCAAAGGATGGCAGAAGTGATGGATTTAAATGCAGAGAACAGCAGTTTGGCAGTTCAGAGCAAAAGGCATGCTCCATGTAGAGGGGGACTGTAGAAAGGCTGAGAGACCGATGGAGCGTCAATATTGCTGTTGCCAGAAGAACCCATCTATCTGAGGATGAGGGCAGAGATTTTATTTCCAATAACTTGGATGTATTTGTAGTTCTTTAGTATGGAAATTTATGCAGATGTAAACGAGCCAATCTCAAACACTCTTGGCAGTGATTACAGAAAATTATGTTAGTAAGCAGTGCTTATTAGGTTGAATTTCAAATAGTGTCTCTCTCCCATATCCAATGTGCCTGTTTTTTCCTTTCAGAGTAAAAGGCGGTTTGAACGAGACTGCAAGGAAGCTGATAGAGCGCAGCAATATTTTGAGAAGATGGATGCTGACATCAATGTTACAAAAGCAGATGTTGAAAAGGTGAGCTGGGGGAGGAGGCTTTCGCTTCTAAATACAAGTTAAGTGGTGCTGGCTTTGACAACCTTGCCAGGTATCACAGCTCTTTCAGGACTGGTCTGATCACAGCTCTGATCCTCCATTGTTGAACCAGGATAGTACTGCTCTGCAGTGCGACACCTCCAGTTACCTAGGAAAACTGAGGGACCCTTTCTGTTGTAAATGGTCTCAGCTTCACTGAAGTCAGTAGAGCTGCCTTAGTTTAAAGTAGCTGATCTAGTTACTGTGAATTGGGTTAATGAAAAACCAAGTCTTATTTGTTTAACGGCCCAGGTTCTGCCATACAAGTTGTAATTCAAGTTAGCAGCAGCTAACCTAGTGTTTCATTACTGGGTTTTCCAGCTTTATTAATCAATCTTGGTATTAGGTTAGTGGAATCAAGACAATTACTCCATTATAGTAGCAGTAGGTAGAGGCATAACTCGTATCCTATAAATGAACATGGACTGCTGATGGGGAAGGTACTTTAAATGTATCGTAGAGAGAAAATACTTCCTGCGCTAAATGGAGCTGCCCTAGGGGGTTGGGTTTTCCCAATGGCAAGTGAAGGTGCAAACTGCAGTTGTGCTTAGAACTGCGAACATTGGCAACAAAGGGGTAGAATCTAGAACTGGTTTTCTGGTTACCTGATTGCTTTAAAGGGTATAACTATGGACTACTTTTCCCATTTCTAATAGAAATAATCAGCAGAGTAGCTGTTAAATTGCAGTGTTAATTCAGAGCCTGATTCTGTACCTTATTCCACCTATGGACCCTTTGAAACACACAGCTGAAGGCACAATTCTGCTGTCCTTATTACCAAATATGAGCCAGGATGGTGGAATGGGGCGGATGTGGCACATACTGGATTTAGGCACATGATGGTTTCTTAGGGTGCTGGCACCAGGCTAGTTTATATTGTTCTTTAGGGCTTTGTTGGCCAAATGCAGGCCAAGTCCTAGTCATGTGTCTACTGGAGCAGTCTGAAACTAACCCTAGGTTTATTGCAGGAAATATTTTCATTTGGAAAGTACCCTGATGGGTTTTGCTTGGCGCACACCGTGTAGAGATTTATTAGACTTGACACACATCATGACAGAAGCTGCACAATTTACATTATTTTGGGGGAGTTCTTGCTGGTTCATTAGTTCTATCAAATGCAGGTAGAATTTGGTAGTGTGTTTCTTTTCCTTTTAATTTTTTTGTGTAAAAGTAGCAATAAAATTAACACATTAAAACTACTCAATACCTGATGCATTGAGGTAGTCAATATAAAATGTTGCTTTGTCAGTGTTATCAGCATGTTGCTACCTTGCTTCATCTGTAGGAAATGTTGTGACCGTGAGGCACCTCAATAACCTGTTCTAAAGTAATTGTGTGTTATCTTTTTGTTTTAGTGGTTGCTGACCTGAGGCCTAATGTTTCAATCCTTGCTCCTAAGAGTTATCCCATTAGAGGCAATGGGGAATCTCCTGTGGGAAACGGTTATATGAGTGGGATCATATTTAGTGGTGATATTGGATGTAACAAATTATCATCTCACAGAGTGTGCTTGTAACACATTTAGTCAAAAGCCACCATTATGTTTGGGATTGGATTCAGTATGCCAGGGATTAGCACCCTGCTACTGAGTTGTAGAAGGTGTAGGGTTGCAACATTACTTGTTGGTTTTGTTCTTTAGCCCTGATTCAGCAAAGCAGTTAAGCAGATGCTTAACTGTTAAACTTGGGTTTAAGCACTTTTCTGGTGCAGGGCCCTACTATTGAACCTTTTTCTTAGGCAGCTCCTGAATCGCACATGCAGGAAGTGTAAACATTTAGCCCAGTGGCAGTACTATAATTTAAGAAAGCAGCATGGAGGAGAAAGCTTGTCTACATTGCTTCGATTCTTGATGGAACTGTGCATCTGTTCAGAAGCTGCAGAAGTATGACATTCCTGATCTAGATAGCTAAAATTAGCTTGGACTTCCATGACCACGGGTTCACCCACATAGGTCAAAAATAACATGTCCACACTGACCAATATGTAGTGGATTTGGATCAGATGGCCTCTTTGAGGTGCATGACATATTCAGCACATCTGAAAAATCAGTCCAGAAACATGGCATTGTTGCTGTGATTTAGCTGAGAAAAGGGTTTTGCCACCTCCTCTATAAAGTCAAAACTGTAGAGTTACAAGCATTTTTGGCCCTCTAGTAAAGAAATCTGTGTATTTATTGGGGATTTCTTAAAACCTTCAGGTTTGAATATACCAAACACCTGTTGTGAGCGAAGCCAGAATACAAGGAAATAGTGATTTATAACAAAATGCTTCTATGTAGAATGTAGCACTTACACATCTGGAAGTCTGCTTCATGCCATTTCATTTCTTTCTGGGAGTTACAATGGAGGAACTTCTCACTAAAATCAATAGGAAGCTAGAACTTCTCTGGTATGCTCAATTACATGCAATGTAGAAAGTAGACCAATAACACTAGGGCTGCATATATTAGCAACTGCACACACAAATGCAAAACAGACCCATAAAATTTCCCGGAAGCTTTCTTGCACATCAAAGCAGAAAAGACCCAGGTGGTTTTATCATTTGCTTTGCTATTGATTGTAAATTCACCATGCAGATTTAATCCCTTATCACTTTCTCGGTTTGCTAGAGTATTTTTACAGTTGAACGCACGCACATACAAGGATGTCAAAAACAGAATGCATCAGATAAACTTTGTACCAGAAAGGGGTCAACTCTGCTCTATCTATAAAATGATGTTAGATTTTTTTTATGCTGAAAAGTAGGACTTCCCTTAGATTTTATGCAAGGCAGAGGTTAAACCAGAGAAGCACAGCTGTGATTTACTAGCCTAGGAAAATAAGAACTTGTGAGGTCTGAATCCAGAACTACTACTAGCTTTCTTTCTGTGCCACAGCCAAGTCATGTACCTGTGCCACGAGGGATAGCATGAGGTAAATTCTGGAAAGCAATCCCTGTCTTAATTTTCTTCCTCTGTGATTTGGACATGGAAATGAGGAGGGCCTTACGAGGAAATAGAGTTGACCTTAGTATTTCCCCTATATGTTAACACATACATTATAAATTGTAGTTATTACAAAATAAGACAATGGCATCTGGAAGGCAAAAAACCCCCAAACATTGAATAGGCAGGATCTGTTGCTAGGGTGCTTAGCTAATCCCTGGAGAAGGCATTAGTCAAGTCCCCAGTTATGCTGTCAGTCAGCAGGCTAGATGGAGAAGGACGAGGTTATCAAAACGAATGGAATGTGAAATAATATTACCGAACAGAGAGAACAGTGTTTTCTAAGTGCATGTGTTAAACCGGGTTCATCCATGTCAGCCTGTGAATAATGCCCTTTCTTTGCTTGGCCATGCCCATGTGACTGGAGCTGCTGTTACATAACTATCCAGTGCAAAATAGGAGATTGTTTAACCAGGGACTGCAGTTGGGGGTAGCACTATCTGACTTGTTCCAGAGAGGCAGAAACTGTTCAGTCTCAAGTGAGGCCATATGATCATTTTCTCTCCTCCTTTTATTACAGCGTCTCTGATTTCACTTGCCCCTTATAGCTTGGCTGCCGCAGTTTCACCTCCAAAAAAAAAACTTCCTGGCCAGGAAAGCAGACGATTTGGCTTTGTGTGGAGCCAGTACTATTCAGTCTGCTGGCTGGATGTGATGCCTCTCTGGGCAACATGATCAGTTGCCCTAATTTCTAGGGCTCAAGAGTGACACCTCTACAGCTTTAACTTGTATTTGCTAATGTGGGGAGACATTGCAGCTGTATTTTGAATCGCATATTAAAGAGAAATGGAATTAAAATCCTGCAGTGCGTCACAATTACATTTGCACTGTGCTAAAATAGCTGTGATTCACTGTTCTGCCCCGTGATTTGTAAGACTAAAGGAGGCTATGCCAGGCTCTGAGTCTCTTAGTCCCCTACCTTTCAATCTTCAGATAACAGCTGGCTTTGTCAAATGGAACAGGAAATACTGCAGACTGGTTCTTAGTATTCAGCACCTTAATATGACTTTGTAAGCTGCACTTGAGTCACCATTGGGCCTCAATCAGCCAGAAAGAGGGTGTGGAAATGGATTATGAATCACCTCCCTTCTTACTGGAATGGGGCAAGGGCTGTGTGTGACAGTGAGGGCCTTCTTTCTGCTCCAGTGCTGGGGAAGGGCTGGCCTGTGAGTTGTAATGGAGCATAATGCCCTTGTGATGATCACCTAGTCTGGCTTTTTGCATAGTCTAGGCCATCCCAGCAATTCCTCAGTGAGTTTAGTGAGTTGTGGTGTCATTAGAAATAGTGTCTTTTAACAGACTCTTCCGAGCATGCTACAGAGCTGGCATTTGACATTGTGGCTCTGCATCAACAGCAGCACAGGGGGCTGCTTTACTTTTTGTGCCTAAAGTCAGCATTGCCTGTGATTAACAGAGGGGTAGTGGAAAGGATCACGTGGCCATTGGATGCAAGCATAATAATCTGGACTGTGCCCAGGTAGTTCCTCGTCCCTGTTGGAGGCTGTGCCAAGGGGTACTGTCCCAGCGTGCTAGCCATATCTTTAAGGCCTGGGGATTTGTCTTTTTATACCTTGTGTAAGTAACTATTATTTAAACGGCACAGCCCTCTTTAAACCCAACTGCTTATTGTAAGAGCCCCAAAGGCCATTCTGGAACCCCTCCTTCCAAAATGAAAGTCCCTGCAGCCCTGTGCAGTACAGACACATACTTCATGCACCAAGGAGGGGCTGTGCAGGGCATTGTGCTTTAGAGGGCCTCAGTGATCACCAGTACAGAGGGAGGGAAAAAGCCTTCTGTGTCCCATCAGGGAACAGCCCATGCTCACCTCTGCAGCAGGTCAGCTCTGCTGGCTGGTACAAAGGTGAGGAGGCCAGAGGTTTTCCTCTCTCCCTGCCCCTGTTAGGGTGGTAACTGTAACTTCGAGCCCATAGAAGGTATCACCAAAAAAACCCTTGCAAAG